CAGGCCTCTCTCATCTTTTTAAGTGGGAGAACTTGCACAATTGGTGGCTGACTAAATACTTTTTTGCCCCACTGTAGCTGGCCTTGTCCAGGCTCAGAAGCCAAGCAGAGAAAGGATTAATTACTGCTTGGGTGGAAGACCCCTAATCAATCTCATGGCATTTTGAACGAAACTGAAAAACATCTTGGGAAAAGCACTGGTGCATCACTTCCGTCTTGTGTCCCTAAAGTCACCAGGAGCCCAGCTGAACTCAAGGAATTTTCTCCCCGTTTAAGAGGTCAGGTGTCCTTCTGCCCTGAAGATCTCTTCTCCCTGACATCCAGGAGTTGCTGCAGAAGATTTCATTAATAGCTTGGGAGAGTTCCCTGTTCTACATAATGTTCTTTCTCCAAAGTCAGAAAGAGAAATCCAAATTCTTCTCTGTGCCCCTTTGAATCTGCAGCTTCCTTAGCATCAGGGACAATGGGACAATAGAAAGCCCCTACTTAAAGAGACCAGTTGAAGTCTTACAACAGCCCTTTGGGTATTCTAGGAAGAGACTTATGTAGCCTGTGCTGGCAAAGATCAGGAGCGATTTGCTATCCCCTTTGCCAATTAACACATTTTATTAAAAGGCCAACGCTTTCACTCTACGCATCCAATGAAGTGAGCTGTGGCTTACAAAACCTGGTGCCTTTTCATAAAATTTAGATTAAATAAAATTAGTCAGGAAAGGTACTGCAAGGCTCCTGATTTTTGGCAGCCAGTTGGATATTTCCCAAAGGGACAAACTCCTTTCCTGCTGCTGGGGGCCTCACAGTTCTATTCTGCAGCTTTCCCTGATTTTCACAGATGCCAGGACTACCATAAGTCACAAATACACTGTTGAGGGAATCAATAGATTAAAGGTGCAACTTTTCAGGTGGGCTGATTCATTTCTTAAAACAACTGATACTCCCATTCTCATCAGCAATGTTCTTAAAGGATGTTCCATTAATCATAAGAGAGGATAAAACAGTGTTTCTGGAACTTGGCAACTTTAAGATGTGTGGACTTCAACTCCCAGAATTCCCCATGGCTGGCTGGGGAA